TAACAAACAAATAACACAACACTGAATGGTATTAAAATGCATTTGAATGAAATAGGCAATGGATGCCTAAAGCTAAGTTATTCTAGTTACATACATACATACAGCTCTTACCCCATCGATTATGCGTATTTTCGATCAAAGTTACTCAAACTTTCGTGATTGCGCTTTTCACCAGGCTGATAACAAAAGTAGAATTATCGGACCTAGTAGTAGTACATATTTTAGCCACTTTGCTCATGTGGTTGATGGTTAATCAATTTTTACTACTTATATAAAATTAATTAAATTATTTAAATTTTACCGGAGTGATCAATCCAAATAAAGCATTCATCTCGTCATGTTGTACAATGGGGAAATTATTTTTTTTTTTTTAATTTTTACCCTTTTTTAGCTTTTGAAAGAAGATCGTTTCCATGGCATTGATAAAATTAAAACTGTTGGCAGTACTTACATGGCTGTCGTGGGCCTTATACCTGGTCAGTATTGAGAGCTAGCTATTTACATTATTTTAGTTTACCATTAGGAAGAATATTGATTACCTTTAAATTTCATATCCAGAATATCGCATCAACTCCAATGATCCCAATTCGGTGCGTCGCCACATGACAGCTTTAGTCGAATATGTGAAAGCAATGCGACTATCCTTGCAGGAAATCAACAGTCACTCATATAACAATTTTATGTTGCGTGTTGGTGAGTGAATAAAACCTTTTCCGCTCTCCGAAACCGTTTTTGTTACTTATTTTTTAAATATATTATTTTTTACCAATTACAGGTATTAATATTGGTCCTGTGGTGGCTGGTGTGATTGGTGCACGTAAACCACAATACGACATTTGGGGTAATACCGTAAATGTTGCCAGCCGCATGGACTCTACAGGCATACCTGGTTACACACAAGTGACGCAGGAGGTCGTGGATAGCCTGCAGGGCTCACACTTCGAGTTTCGGTACAATTAATTTTACAGTTGTATTCAACTTTGCAATAATTTGAATCTCTTACACATCTCAACAGCTGTCGCGGCACCATCAAGGTCAAAGGCAAAGGCGATATGGTCACATATTTTCTATGCGACTCTTCGAATAATGGCCTCAATGGCGAGGTGCGCAACGCTATGATCGCCAATCGTGCCATCACACAAAATGGCAACGGCTATACGTCACAACAGCAGCAACAACAACAGCANGACCTACAACATTAAGAAAGATAACTACGGTTACAACAACATGGACACAAGCCAAATGCTGTTGAAAACTTCACCAAATGCAATGCAGGAAGAGCAACAACAATTGCTTTTACATCAGCAGCAAGCTATGCCACAACAATATCAGCATCATTTGGCGCAGCAGCAACAACAGCGCTTGAATAGTAAATTGCAAAAGCAACCGAATTTTATTGCCAACGGTGGCCTCCCGAACATACGTGAAAATTGTCACAATGGCGAACATAATGGCAGTAATGGCGGTAGCAATGGTGTTGG